ACACACACACACACCATATCTAAAAAAAAAAAACATCCCGTTTTCTGTCAGGAAATCTATTTTCTGCGTAGCATTAATAGGACGGAACGTCTTATTAATACATTATTCAACATTGAACACTGGAATTAGCTGCTCTACGATGAAAATGAAATTAATAAATTTTAACAAAAGCGAATAATTCAAATTAGGCTTTTGAAATATTAAAACAAATAAAAAAACGGGCAATTAAGAGCCTTGATACGCGGTAATTGGTGCAATTATCATATACACATATATTTCAATTGTATCTATGTATTACATAATATACAGAACGTTTCGACTATATTCAAGCCATCCTCAGCAGTCTCCAATCATAGCAATAATTGATAACAATCCAATGTTCGTAACGTCAAAGAAATCGAATGCAGCAAGCAAGAATAAATTTTATAAACGTAATAATTTCTTTATTTGTGCTGTGTTTTTAATTATCTAAAATATTTCATACATTTTTTTATATATCTTCAAAAGTATTTGACTAATTTTAGCAATTTAACAAAATCATTATTTTATGATATTATTATTATTATTATTATTTAAAAAATTTATTTCAATAGTCATTGCTATACTGATATTGCACTGTGACGAATTGTGTGGTATTTGCCTTTATCGCTATTTCGCCCAACCAACGCGGTATGAGACGAATATATACGGAGCGCGTATATAGAGATGATTTCTTTCACATCTGAAAAATGATTTTTCGTGATTTTAATACACATATTTTCAGCGTAAAATACTCTTTAATTTTCGACATATAAAAATTAAAACATTTTTGAAAATTGGTATGAGGGTGAGGGTATACAATAAATAATTTAAAAAATTTTTTGTTATTATAGTTCTAAAAGTACTCTTAAAGTCAGTCAATTTTTATTCTGGAAAATTTTTTCTATTTCTTATAATTTCGAAAATATTCGCTTCGAAAAAAAAAGACCGATTTTTTTCAAGGGAGATTTCCACCCCTTTAAGGTGCGACTCAGCAGATATAAAAAAATACGTATTTCTTAATTTTTTCCATAGAACAACATACTAAAACTCATTTAAATCGGACCATTGGTTGTGTTCCCTTGTAAGTAGAAAAAAGGTGAAGATAAATTGAATATAATATTAAAATTCCATAAGAACTTTATCTCCACTATTACTCATATTAACTTCTACTTATTTTACATTTAATAACAAGATATACAAACAGACCTTTGGTACCCCAATGGGATCCCCATTGTTATCTATAATAGCTGACATAATATTGCAAGATTTAAAGAAAAAAGCATTAAATAGTCTTAATTTAAAATTATCTTTTTATTATCGTGGATGATATTTGTTTTAGCTGCTTTCAGATCAAATTCAAAATATTTACTTTTGAAATGGAATGTAATCGTACTTTAAGTTTTTTAGATATCTTGTTAATTGTAAAAGATGACATAATATATTTATAAATTAGTTTCAAAAAAAAATCTTTTCAGGCAGATTTTTGTCGTTTTTTTCTAATCATCAATTACAAGATTGGAATGATTTACAATCTGGACAGAGCGATTTTATTATCTCATCTTTTATTTCATAGAGAGAATTTAGAATTATGTATAAAGTTGCTTCTTGAAAATGGATATCCATTGGAAATTATCTTCAGAAAAATTAATATTAGATTAAAAAAGCTTTTTAGTAAGAAAAGTATAATTCGGAATTTGAGCAATGTCAGTGATACAGAAGATAACACAGACACGATTGAACAAAGGAAAAGATTTTTTTATAATTCCATTTATAGATAAATTATCTAACATTATCATATCATGTTTAAACAAAAAGTTGTTCGTGGTAGAATACAAAAGTATGAATCGTCTTAATAACATTATCAAGATCCAAAAGATAGTATTGACAAAAAATAGAAATGTAATGCAGTATATAAAATTAATTGCAAGGACTGTAATGTATCCTACGTTGGCCAAATTAAAAGACAATTAAAAACGAGAATCAAAGAACACATTAATAATATTAAGATGGATTCGTCGAAGCACTCGGTAATCTCAGAACATATATTGAATTTCAATCATTTCTTTGATTGGAATAATGTTAAAATCATGGATTCTGAACAGAATTCTACCAAAGATTGATTTCTGAAATGCTTTGCATTAAAGAACGAGAAAAAGGCATTATTTTACAAAATGATACCGAGAGACTTAACGATTCCTATATATGTTTATTAAAATCGGTTTTTAAATTTCACTTAGTTTTTTCACAATTCTTTTATCATATAAATGATTTTATCTTTTATACAGATACATATTGCGATATATTTAAATCAACCTTTGACTATATAGTTTATTAATTGACTCTGCTCTTTCTCGCTGTTCAATGATGAAATAGTCTTGATATCTTTAAACGATTTGTATAATTTTTGCAACATTACTATATACTTCGTAATTTTTTAATATCTTTTGACGATTTATATAACATTTATTGCAATATAAATACATACTTCATAATTTATTCTAAAGTGCATCCAACATTTAAATATTTTGT